GGCCATTATCTCCGTAACCGTTCAACTTTGGACATAGGTGTTTTGGGTTATATCGGCATACTTTAACATAAGGAACACCCTCCCGAAGTTTGGCACATTCCTCCTGGGACACTCTGTATATAGGCGTGGCCTACTTGAGTTGCTGTGCTGTTGGGCGCAGCGTAATTCTGCATCAATCAGTTATCATATGTTTTAACCAGTCACTGCCCTTCAGGTGGAGTTCTTTTGTATACTCATGTTATCAATATATATATATATGTTTGAAAACGCCAGTTGAGTATATGTATACTTGTGCCGTATGTTCCATACCAGCTCTTGCCTAGCGGATCCGTCCAGCCTGGCCCATCGTACCGACTGTGGTTTTTCTCCCTCGAGATCCCTTACTCAATCTTAGGGAGGAATAGTACATCGCGCTAGCAAGCAAGTCGTTTCTTATGAGCCTGTCCCTTACCCATATAGAGAAGGGATTCACGGGTCAAAGTGGGTAGAAGAACGGGGTTCTTTAGCCACATGGTCGAGGGACACGGCTCAACATATACAGGTTGTTTCACGACTTTAGGGCATAACTGCAGGAGGTGATTTCCTAAGTCTCTGTGGTGAAAAAAGTTCATATAAACATGTGTCCGATTTTGGACGGTTACGGAGTTATGCTTCTTTATGTCACACTGAACCTGTGGCCCGCCACTATTTCACAAGCTTGGATACACACGACTTTGTGGGAACTGGCGAGTCGGGATATTTACGACGAAACTTACGGATACATTTTTTGCAAGTTTTTTCCTTGCAAAAGTTCCTATAACAAACATATGCTGCTCAATAGTGAACTTCATTTCAGTTTAAATTTCGACCGCCTATCGACACCTCTATCACAGACTGACTATTATTGCGACTTACTGCCGTGACAGGCCGCGCCATAGCTCAAGCGGCAAGTCGTTGGCTTCCCACCGCGGCGGCCCGGGTTCGATTCCTGGTCTGGTCAAGTGAGATTTGTTGTGGACAAAGTGGCGCTGGGGCGGGTTTTCTCCGAGTACTTCGGTTTCCCCTGCCAATCCTCATTCCACCAAATTCTCCATCATCATAATCACCCGGAGCAGGCTACTATAGGCGAATCAGTGGCCGCCGTGCCGAGTAGACCCAGTTGTTATCTCTGTAACAGGCCGTGAAGGTCGGCGAAGGCCCATAGGTTTGTGAGAGACTTCCACATTCCCTCTAGAATATCGATTCACAGATGGCCTTTTAAAACCCAGGAAGTATCATGGTACTCATTCTGTTAGAGGCTGAGTCGACCACAGGCCCATAATGCGGCGGTAGAATTAGGTAAATTTAACAAATCAACCTCTTCGGGGCTCGAACCAGCGACCTTTCGGCCTGTAGCACTCGCTTCACTTAGTGGGGGCTGGAGTCCAACTGGGTTCACTCGGCACGGCGGCCACTGATTGGCCTATTGTAACCTGCCCCGGGTGATTATGATGATGGAGAATTTGGTGGAATGATGATTGGCAAGGGAAACCGAAGTACTCGGGGAAAAACCCGCCCCAGCCCTACTTTGTCCACCAAAAATTCTACTTGACCAGAACAGGGATCGAACTCGTGCTGCCGCGGTGGGAAGCCAGCGACTAACCGCTTGAGCTACGGCGCGGCCCGGCTTGTAGCATTGTGCCTCAACCATCTACGCTACCGCGTGCCTCCCCTCAGCAGAGATAATTTGGTTTTCATTTCGACTCATACTTTTAAGAATAGCTTCTAGACATATAGGTACTTTGGGGAAGCCTCTCCCGGAAGAAGACTGTGACCAAAAGCCATATGTGTATGTGTGTTTTATACATACGTATATAAACTTGATTTCGCGTAGCTTGCATCGAACGAAATCTCTGGATTGCTGTAGTCCGCCGAGGATTCGAAGCAGATACCTACCGAATATATGGCATGAACTGAATACCGCTGGATACTATATACTTCATGGGGTCAAATGTGAAATATTAAGAAGACGAACTGAATGGCGGAGAGAGAAAGAAAAAATAAAGAAACAAGAGAGAATTATCGTAAGCTACTTAAAGTTCATTCGTTTGAGTCATTCCATCAAACAGTGTTAAACACGTTGATAATTAAATGTGACATGAATTTATTCATGGGAGAGCTCCTTAAATCTGTTCTCACGTTCCAGCTCCCTGGGACAGTTGTGACGGTTGTGACTTCATAGGATTTGTGCTTCGCACAGCTCTGCTGTATGTTATTTGATCTAACGAAACGTATAGACTAGCGATAACCAAACTCACACCAGGCTTGCAGCAGTGAGAGAGGATGGAGGGAGAGTGTTGTGCAACCTGCACCTGGGCTCGCCATTCACTTGTTCTGCTTCCCTGTCACTTGATTTATTTCTCTGCAGGAGTCCGTCCAATGGAGGATGGTTCGTTAGACAACACTAGACACTGCCCCCTTTTTAGCCTACTTTCCTTATTTTGAAAAAATTAAATTAGCCATTTTTATGGTCAAATGAAGTTGGCCGCGCCATAGCTCAAGCGGTTAGTCGCTGGCTTCCCACCGCGGCGGCCCGGGTTCGATCCCGGGTCTGGTCAAGTGGGATTTGTGGTGGACAAAGTGGCGCTGGGGAAGGTTTTCTCCGAGTACTTCGGTTTCCCCTGCCAATCTTCATTCCACCAATTGCTCCACAATCACCTATCATCCGGGGCTGGTACAATAGGCCAGAAGTGGCCACAGCGCAAGGGATTTAGTCCCACCGCACTAGCAATAAAAAAATACGGTCAAATGATTGAATGATAGCGAATCGTGATCTGAAAAAGATTACTGGTGCCAAACCGGCATTTTCATGGAGGCACTAAGGAAATCCAAGAAAGATTTAATTCAGAATAGGCAATGTTCCGGTCCCAATTCGAACCGAGCACTTTCCGAATACAAATCAGAAGCGTTGTTCGGGTCCTCACTTCATCAACTACACCATCACTAATAAAGAAAAATTAATCTAATAAAGTTTCGTATTAATTATAAGAGCATAAAGCTATTAAATATATTATAAAACATATATATTACTAATGCATCCCTGAACATTCGTGAACTAAAAATCAGGGCATGAAGGCGTATAGAGCACGTAAAGGCAAAACTCCATTCATTC